TAATTCTTGGATATCCAGCAGGCAAACTTTTTTTTTGCTTTATGACAAAAAATACTCAGCCGTTAGCTTAAATAAAAAAATATGGCCCCTCAGTCTATTTCGTTATATATTGAAAGAAAATAACATCTTTCAAAATCCTTTTCTTAAATTCTGGATATCTAGCATGCAAACTTCTTGCATGATTACAATTACTAGTTCTTTACAAAGATTTTGAATTCATGTCAAGAATTCAGGCCTCTGGGTGGGGCTTTGTTGAACATATACTGAACATTTTTTAAAGAGTTTACCTTTGAACAATTTATTTATTCGTGAACATTCAGCAAGCAGACGTTAAGCATGGTGACAGTAAACTAACTGGCCTTTACCAATTAAATGTGTCTCTTTAGAGCTCACGCCCAAGGATGGGGCTAAGTTGATCATAATTTTAAATACAGTCGCCCGAGTGGCACAGTGTTTAGAGCGTCACTCTGCTCTAGAGTCGCGGAATAAGGAGCTGATCCTTACGTCGCGGGTTCGAATCCACTGTGGGACGTGGAGACCGGTCCTTCGGATGAGACCGTATAAACCGAGGTTCCTTGTCGCAGTAGGTGTTGACAAGAAAAAGATCCCTCACTGCTCAATGGCCCTGAGTGCCGAGTATAGGTATAAATTTGCAGCCCTCCACCGGCGTCTCCATATCAGTGAAAAATTCTCGAGAGGGACAACAAACAAAACAAACATATTTAAATACACTTCATCCTTAAAAATTCTTTTTACTCCTCATCATCTAGGAAAAAGATTTACGAATATGATAGTAAAGAGTATGGCATGTAAAACGTTACATTATTATACTGTTTTGTTGTTCCTATTCAAAAATTTTGTTATTCTTATTCTAAAATTTATCATTCCTATTCGATAAAATGTGATTCCTATTCCATAAGTTGTTATTCCTATGCGAAAAAAATGTTATTTCTATTCGAAAATTTATTATTCCTATTCGAAAAGTTGTTATTCCTATTCGAAAACACGTGATTCCAATTTAATAATGTGTTATTCCTATTCGAAAACCTGTGATTCGTATTCGATAATTTTGTCATTTTTAGTCGATAATTAAATGATTTATATTCGATAAACATGCTATTCCTATTGAAAAAACATATCATTCATATTCGAAAACATACAATTCCTATAATCTTAACAAGAATATAGAATAGGAATTGTATGTTTTCGAATCGGAATGATATGTTATCGAATAGGAATAACATGTTTATTGCATATAAATAACATAATCATCGAATAAGAATGATGAAATTATTGAATAGGAATGACAAAATTATCGAATAGGAATCACATGTTTCAAATATGGATGATATATTTTGGCATAGGAATCATATTTCTTCCAATAGGATTAACAATTTGTCGAATAGAAATGACAAATTATCGAATAGGAATCACATTTTTCCGAATAGGAATGATATGTTTTAGAGTAAGAATAATAATTTCTTTGAATAAGAATAACAAAAAGTATAATTATGCAACGTTATACACGCCATTACTAAGAGCCATTATGAATTTTTAAAAGATCACGTCACATAAGTTAAGATTTCAAGTTTCAGGCTGGGCTGTGTTGGTCTTATCCAATAAAACCTGTACTGCATGACACTCAGGTGAGCTTCAAGGTTATGGATGCCTCTTTTTCACGTTAATATGATTTTAAACATTGGCATTTTTAGGACCTCTATAAATTCGCAGTTGAAACAGTTTCCAGAAACAGTTTCTGAACTCATTTATTATCCCATTACTGTCTGGATGATTTTTTGTTACATAGTTATTAACCCTTTCACCAATACAATTAATTTATTTGAATGACTAATTAAAAAGGAAAAAAACAGTAAAGACCATATTTCGGTATTTACAAAACTACATGTATGTCGGTCATCAAACGTGTCGATCTCTTTACGTCAGGTAATGGATTCTCTAATGATTGCTGACGTTTTTTCAAAGATAGTATCTATTAAAAGAAGAAAGCAAGGCACATTTTTAACTCAAATTTGTCCCTCTAATTTACACCATTCATACAATTTAGCGAAAAACAAGAGCGGGGGTGAAAACAGTTTCAGCAAAGGATCTTATCAAGTGTTATTTATATGTTTTCTGCATTCCATATACAGTTCTGTGTAGTAGAAATTTAAACAAATTTGCGGTTACTGCCTTTTGCTCTTTATAATGAGAAAAAAGTAATTAAATGCATGTTTCCTTCACACTATATTTAAAATCAGATATTTGTCGGACTCCTACATGTACTACTTATTTCAATGTATCACGTTTGGTCATTACTTCGATGCTCGTGAGAAATCTCTAACATTGCATCGCATTTTACAAGTCTTATCTGAATTACGAGGGTTATCAAAATAATAACAAATTTCCAAGTCCTATGCATTGTGTTTTATCATCTCTCTCTCTTTTTTTTTTTTTTTTTTTTTTTTTTTTTTTTGCTATTTGGGCGGATTTCTATGTTGTATTTTATTTTTTAATGTTTATGTTGCAGTACATGTACATTTTATAGAGTAACTGGAGAAATCAAATTGTCATTATTGTCTGGATCTTCTCTCTGCAAATGTTCAAACTTCGCAAGTTCACCGATATTATATCGTTAAGATTTTCGATCATAAATATATGCAATCAAATTTAAGTACAGAATTCTATTAAAAGAGTTAAATAACCCAGAATAGAGTAGACGTTTAACAGAAGTCCCAGACGATTTATGGACAATAAAGTTTCCGATAGAAAAAAAGTTGTGAAGCGCATTCTCACCTGCAGAGATGAATACTGTTATTCGATGTTATGAGCCTACTTAAGAAGACAGAGATTTGATGTACATGTATTAAAGATATGTTAGAAGTGAGAAACCGATGAGAGTGTAATAAATAGTACAGGCTCTATGTGAAACTGTCGAAACTGTAATAGAAAGTATTGCTTGTATGTAAAATCGTTGAAACTATAATAAAGAGTTTGCTTGTATGTGAAATTGTTGAGACTATAACAGTTTTGCTTGCATGTGAAATCGTCAATTCTGATGCATCGTACCAGATGCACATTTCGACAAATTATGTCTCTTCAGTAATGCTCATGCCGAAACGTTGGAAATCCAAAATATTTAAATAAAATGGCTTTGGAGAGCTGAAAAAAAGTGCCAAAGACTAGAGCCAAATAGTCGAAGGATCACGGCTATGTGTATGTGAACCGTTAAGACTATAATAAAGAGTATTATCTGTATTTACAAATCATGGAAAGTAATATTGCAACGAAACAAAACATTCCATTTCTCTTGTCATGTTTCTAGGATTTTATGTACAGTTTGTTCTTCCTGTATGCTATTTTTACATACCTAACTTTGACAAAATGTGCAAGCCAGCATCAAACGCAAGAAAGTGTAATGCCTTTCTCGCTTGATCTTTTTATTTTACGTGTTTAAACTAAGACCAAGATTGTAAAATCTTCGTCATAGAAAATTTTTAAATGATTTTATGTACTCTTCCATGTCCAAGAATATCACGAACGAGAGAGAGATGCAATCAAATTGTCAATTCAATGATTAACTCCCATTAGCATGACACACCTCCTATTATGTAATTGGAAACTAGCCTGGCGGGTCAATCGCAAGTAGTACGTTTAATTAAAAAAAAAAGGAAAGGAAAAGTATTTCTTCCGCGATCACTGAACAGCATTAATGATGTAGGGAAAGCTGAGCCAGGTTTTAAACTTTTTGTGTCAAATTTTCAGTTTTCATTGTTTTAAGACTCTGCTTTTAGTTATTCCCCAGAAAAAAAATCACATTTTAAAAAAATATTATGATTTTTTTTCTCATAAATAGTTTTTAAATTATTACAAAGGCAGTTTTTTGTTGGGATAAAAAGCACTGAATACTTGTATAACCTTCTGTTCTTAAATTCAATTTGCGGCTTCTTGACATGGGTGTTAAAGCAATAAATGAATTATGACAACAAATATGACCGACAGAAATCTACAAAAATTGTACCTAACAATTTTTGTACGAACAAAACTAATATAAGCTCTCAAACAGAACTGTGAATATCTTACAACATCAACAACAAAATGATTGTAGTATTCTAAAGATATATCATAAAAACTTTCCACATTTTAAGACACTTACAATGTACCGTATTCCATATACATTGCTGTGGTGTGTTTTATAATTTTGCTCAAAATTTTCAAAGAAAATGAGGTCTGTGCTAATTTCATGTTATAGAGCCTTGACTGTAATTTTTACTTTTAGTTTATTTAATATCAACACTCCTTGCAACATTTTCCGATTTGACTTAATTTTTTTCAAACTATGCGTATTTTATGCTTATGTTAATATTTAGTCTAATATGTATACACATTGTAATCTATTTTTTAATCAAGTTATTACTAGTCTGCCTTAAATTAATCTAGAACAAATTAAAAAATAATAAAGTTGAAAAAAAATCATTATATTTCTAGCTTTTAAGGTCTAGAAATACCCTTACCACAAAGTTTATTTTCCAGGAGGCCCTTAAGCTTTGGCGTGACTATCTCCTAAGTATTATGTGTTTTTCAAGAAATGACCAACTCAGTCCCACATGGTACAGGTACAGTAGTCATGTGTCATAAATTTTACAGTTTTTGTAGATGGTGATTATTTGTTCATAATTACATTGCATGAAGATTGTCATTCCAATTTGTCTCTTTCTTCGGGGGTATACGGACAGAAAGAAAGAAACAGAATAAATTCCAGCAATCACAATAATGGATTAAACAGCTTGAGTGTTCCCTAACTGGTTTTAAAAAAATTGAATTGCTTAAGAAAATTACTTAAAGGTTTATACGTAAAAATAGGACTCGTGTTCTCTATATGCTCTTATCTTGGTAGTTCATTTTCATCAGCAAATTCAATGCCAACGATTTGGTGCTTTTATAGATTGTGTTGACATCAGATAGAGAACAAAAATGGATCTGCACTCCAAAACATACAAAACTGACGTTTTCTATAAAACTAGTTCTTAATTACATGAGGAAACATTGCATACAAAGCTCTGTGTGAGTGAATCCATCGGTACATGTATATATGTCCAATGGCAGTCTTTAGCAACAACACAGACACGTGAAAAACTGCCTCATTCTCATCGTCCTCTAAAATAAAGTAATACAAAAGATTACCTTCCAATAATATTTACAGAGGAAAAGCTTCTCTCAAACATCGACAGCTTTCATTTTCAAATATTTACCCCTCCAAGTTCTGGGATCTGTTTGTCTTCTTTATACCCCTCCTCTCCTTCAAATATTTTCTGCTTTTTCATTACTTTTTCTTTCTTTCCTTTATTCTTTTTCCCTGCACTTATTTTCTTCCTCTTCTCTTTCCCCCCTTTCTTCTGAAATTTTGAATATTTAATCAAAGTTGGTAATTTATTATGTCTCTCCTTATGGGAGTAGACATTTATTTTGGCATGATTGTCTGTCTGTCACAAAATGATGTTCAGGTCCTATAGTGTAAGTCTGGAATTTTGGATTGAAATGGACTCAAATGTTGTTTCATGTAAGTTAAAATTTGACGATCTTAACTCAAGCTCATATCTCAAAGTGCAAAGGGTAAAGCAAAAGGGAAATGTGTATGGACTATAACTATGGAATCCTGGAAATCTTACAAGTGTATTTAGTGATCCGTTAAGTAACACACGTTGTATTAAATTTGCCTTTAAGTGTTTTTTCGTTAAAAACATTTATGATTTATTGTTACTTTGATTAAAATAAATCTGGGAATTTTTATCATATCAAAGGAACATGTACTAGTATTCAGTAACTGAAGAAACTAAATTGATTTTTTTTTTATTACACAGTAGAAATTAATTAAGTTACTTAAAAATTATTTATAGCTCCATGTGGTAATAATTTAAAGGCTCAAGCTCCATGAACAGTACTTGGATATAGAGCCCAGGTCCAGGGATGAGTCACCAAGAGAGGAATAACACTTTAACACTGCTTCAGGATTACAACAGATTCCCGGATTGATTTAGATGTAGTTAAAAATGTGAAGAATAATACAGTATACTAGTATTTGATGACATGTGAAGTTTCATTCATGATTTTAAATTAAGTTCAATCATATTTACCTTTATTTTCTTAATTCCCCCGTCTATGCGGCCTGCACTTCGGATGTGTAGAGTTCCAGTACTCTATAAAAACAGATTTCAGTCATCAGATAATTAGCATGCATAGGCGAATTTAATGCAAAGTAGTGAATTAATGCAAAGTAGTGAATTGTAATGAAATTTAGAGAACTTGAAGGAAGAACTTAAAGTTGAAAGAGAGGGTACCTGTGCAGTCCAGCAATATGGTTTACTTATTAAGGTAATAAAGAAAGTGATCCAAGCGCACTACAAAAACAGCATTGTATGAAATGCATAACGTATTAAAAAGTATTGTTTTCCTAACATTAATTGTTTGAATTTTAGTAATCCCTAACCTACTTATTTGCAAAATTTTTGGCTTAAATTGGAGTACTTTTATAATAAACTGCTTATAAAATTCTTGCATTTATGATGGCATACTAGTAAATGAAGCGCAAAAGTCATTCATAATGATCATTACTTGCGGAAACAGACATTAAGAGTAATTTTTAAAAATAAAAAGTGGTAAATAGGAAAGTAAATACATGTAACTTTATATAATTTTTCACTATACGGTATTCTAACTCACACAAATTCATAGTTCTTAACTGAAAATCAACTTAACTTTGCTGCTACTTTCCTCCAAGAATATGAAAATATTTTCGATTTTGTTTAGCTTTAATTCTGATGTATACCTATAAAGACATGTTTTCAAGATACAGAATTGAAATTCTTGTTTAGTGCAGCAATCCTTCGCGATTTTCTCATCCTTGCAAAAATTTGCAAAGATGACAAGATTTATGGCATTCGAAGGAAAGTTGGCTTCCTGTGTTCAATCTGTATACACTAATACTCTTCTCTGTGATTACCAATATCATAAAGCATTCAATACTTAAGTAAATGTACATACTTGAATACTTTTGTTTGAGCAAATATCCAAAATCCCCCATCTCCAATCATCTTGTGCTATTTTCCATTCCTCGTCTTCCTAGATGTAGGTTAAAAAGAATTTGTGCACTGCATATTCAATATCTCTTTTATCTGACATTCTATACTGGGCAAAGGGGTGTTTCTTTGATTTTTTTACGAATAAAATGGTTTTACACGTTCGGTTTTTTTCTGATGAAAATAATCCTGGGTTTTTTTGGTTTGCCTCTAATATACCCACTTACTTGAATCTTTCCAATTTTCTGAGCATGCCTAAATTTCGCCCGAAGTGCGTCTCCCCTTTTCGGACTAAAATGCTGAAAAAGAAGGATTATGAGAGTGAAACAGCATATTATTTTATGCTGACTATATACTAAAATTTAAACTTGTGTAATTTAAACAAGAGGTCCATAGGTCTTCTAAGTATCATGTATTTTTATTTCAGACATGAGCAAAGTAACTCAATCGGAATTCGGACCAAACTCAGAGTTGTGACTTGTTAGATCTTTGATCGTGGTCATGTTGCACGAAGTTTGTTCTATAGACACTCAGAAGTATTGAAGAACTTATAAAGATATAATGCATTTTTATTTCATAGTCAACTTAGCTCCACTTGAGTCCATTGTGTTCATTTGTGTCCCCTGGGTTCACTGATGAACATTTAGCAAGCAAAGCTACATGTACAAAATCTTTACTTCATAGTGAAGTTAATGACCCAGGGTGAAGTTTGAAGGTGATTAAAAAACTTTAAAATATGGCAAAAGGCTAGTAACTTTCCTTGCTTAATGTCCAGGATTGAAGATTTTTCAAAGATATATGAATATGATAAGTAAATGATCAACTTATCTCTACTCTGGAACATTAACTTCACTGTTAAATAAAGATTTTGTAGCTTTGTTTGCTAAATGTTCATCGGACACAATTTAGCAATGGGCTTTAATTTGCTTTCAAATGTCCTGGAGTAAAGTAGAGAAGACTTCCAAACGTGTATTATCAATACACGTAATTCAGCTGGGCTTAAAATCATAAACCCAGGGAATAAGAATTTCATAATTTTTTTTATAGAGAACCAACAGCAGTTCCTTCTAGGTATTCAAGAGTAAAGAACGAGAGGGGGGATGGATTTAATTTTTACACCATTGACCATCCTCTCCATTAAACCATCTTCTCTCCTAAGGAATACATGCTGGATTCACCTCTGCCGGCAATAGTTTTAAGAACCTTCTCGAACCGATTGCTCTTCCCAGTAAAGGTAGTAAACAGTGTACTAAGAATTATTGTGTACTTACAATTTCTTCTCTTAGATTACCCTTGATATATGCTAGAAACTCTTTGCCATTCTTGAAATCAGGTGTGTCATCACCATTATCGCACATCTTTACATCTTACATCGGCCTGATTTACTTTGTGTTGATCGTTGTTTCACAACCACTAGTAAACAAACAAAGTAGCAAATAGTGCATGAGACAAAGATGTATATTTTACGTAGATGTATTCCAATTTTGTTTTCTCTCATCATCTCCCAGCTTTAAATGAATCAAAACAAGTTTCATTTGTATATTTTAGTATGACTTTGACCGACTTCACATAATAATTAACTTTCGCTATCTTTTTTTTTTTTTTTTTTTTTTGTTTTTCACATAAAGCTATAAAATTCCTTTCTAAACATACCATACCATGGAAACGCCTGACAATATTTTTAAGTAATCTGACGGACGATTGAAAATATTATCTCTTTCTAATTATTAAAATCTTCTCACTCAATGTCTTCTTAAAAAGCGAAAGAAAATGTGGTAAATTTATAAAGCATAAATGCCGCAGGGCGTAGTCCCATAGCTTATAGACAAATACCTTCCGTAGGGGTCACTCAAACCACTGACTGATTTATATATTGAACATGCACCAGATCTTTGCAAACAAAAGATAATTCATGATTAAACTTCTTTTTATTTCTGTGTCCAAATGAACTTGACTCTGAATTCAATAGTCCCATAGATTGATTCACGATAACTGCGGTACTACTCTTTTGCAAGGCAAATTGATGTAGTTTGGTGAAATATGACTTAACATCAATTGTTTAGTAAAAGTCATCTAATTATCTACCAACAAAAACTTCGCCAAATGTTAATTTCCACTGCAAAGGAGATTACCGCATTTATCGTGAAGAGGTAAATAGCAAATAGAACTTACGAAATGACGACATTAAACGAGACTGCTGATATTCTTGTTTCATCAACTTGTTTGTCAATAACTTACCTCGTTTTAGAAATTGTTCATACGTAGAACATGCTCTTGCGCATCGAATCAACTGAGAGATATAAAGCCGTATGCAGGTGATGAAAGTATATTGCTGCATAAGTTAAATAACATTAATCAAGCTCAGAAGCCCATTGAAACGATTCAAATCGGGAGCAGAGCAAACACGAACCTCTAAAAGCATCAGAGGTGGGATCACGTGCCATGGAGGAGTAAGCATCCCCTGTCGACTTGTCACACCCACCGTATGCTCCTTGTCATGATCGGGCAAACGGAAAAATCCGAAGACAACTCAGTGTGTTAATAATGACCTAACAATTAGAATGAACGACGTTAGTCAGCATTCGACTTAATGATGGACTGTATTTGCTGACAAGGTCATTGTATCGATCATGGAGCTTGCGAAATGTTGACTTCAAACAAGACTGTTAATATTCTTGTTTCATCAGCTTGTTTATCAATAGCTTGCCTAGTTTAAGAAAGTGATCGTACGTATCGAATTAACTGGGAGATGTAAACTCCATATGCAGGTGATAAGAGTATTAATATTGCTATATAAATAAGGGAAGTTGACGATATAAAAGTTAATGGTCATCATAAAGTTTATCATAAAGTTTTGTTGTTAGGTAACCATTAACGTCTTATACTAATAAAATACCCCAATATGAAGCAGATGTGTCAGACTCTATGTTATCTTTTAAGTTCACTGGGATATAGCGAGTCGACAAATGAATGAAAATAACCATGAGTATTTGATAATAAGTCGTCGAGTTGAAGGCCACAGCAACTGTTTTCTTTTCCTCATGTATAGAGGTTTTTGAATAAATTCTGCTTCATATGAATACAAAAATAGGTCTGCTTATAACCCGGCGCAATTGGTACCCATGGGAATTCCGACAGATTGTTTGAAGACTTGATCTCCAAATACTACATAGATATTGTCAATCAGAAACTCAAGCATCTTTTGAATTATATCAACTTCGGGGTACTTGTGTGTACAAACAAAGGAGATGGGTGAACATGACGAGCGAAAAGCCTATAGTGGGACAAACATGAAGGTGAAAAATTGAATTTCAATTATATCAAAATTTTCCTTGATATTTCATCTAACATTAAAATATACTTTAAGTAAAATCTCTACAATTTGCAAAAATCTCTCAAAGATTGAAATTATTTGCCTTTGAAATATTATAAACACACTAAAGCGGGCAAAAAGAGTCATTTTCTCATACTATAACACTATTTTTCGATATGAGTGGGTCTTCGATCCACTTTTTTGAAAGTTATTCCTCAAAGTTTGCATAAATATATACAATTTTTGTTTACCAGAAATATGGAGCAAAGACCCACTATACCTTAAAAATATACTTTTATGACACAACATTCGCCCCTTTTCGAGAAATACTTGAAGTCCATTAAGTCAAGGGTCATATCACAAACATGATTTAAATGCCGCTCTTCATCAGGACTTGTGTAGTCTAGTAGTTAGCGTGCTAGTCTCGAAAGAAAATGATACTCAGGATTTTTTTGCTAGGGTTCGAACCTCACGAATACCACATTATTTTTTTTTAAATAAAAGAATAAATTTTGCCGAGAAAATTTGCCTCAGAAAAGTTTTCTTTATCATAATTTCATAAATTTCAATAATGGGAATTTTACTCTAAATACTAAATTCACAAACTGAACATGATTTTTATATATCTGAAGCTATAGGCTTTGTGTACGCTATGTTCGCCCATCTCTTTTTTTTAAAGCAATATGAGCTGCAACTTTGATATCGGAAATTTTTATTGTAATATTGTAATTAACTATTTCAATGACAGAAAAAAAAGTTTATAAACTTCTGTTGTTTATATTTGTTATGGAAGAACTACAGGTAAACTTCGTTATCTCGACATCGACGGGACCATCGGAAAATGTCGAGATATCCGAGGTGTCGAGATATCAGAGTTGACTCTTGACGTACAAGATTTCACTGCATAGCAAAACAGACAAGCTTATTATATGTATATGACTTCAATATATAGGCTCTAGCTCAACATATTTAAGCAATCCCTCTATTTTTATTAAAAATCTAAGAAGTTATTTTTAAAAATCTTGTTTATAAAACATGTTCTTTGTCGAAATCTTTCTAAATTTAGAAAGTTTCAGCACAAACTTACAGCATTCGCGTGTAACTTGCTTTTCTTTTTGTCAGAACAGGATACGAAATGCGCTCTATAAACTTCGAACCGTATAAAGTCGACATCCGAAATACGGAAAAAAAATTAAATGCGTATTATTCCCCCCCCCCCCTTACTTTATTCAGGAAGAATGTACATTATAATTATTTTTTTAAAGAGATTAGTGTATCTAAACTAACGTAGTGATGTTACAGCTGCATGAATTACGGCTGATTCTGTTAATCGTGTTGTTAGTTGGATTGTTTCCTGTTGAATGCATTTTAACTACAAGATATCATTAAAACATCTTTTAATTCCTTAGTTTTAATTATTCAATGTGTTTGTTATTCATTGTAATTTAGTTACCTATATCAAATTCAAAAATTATGCTAAGTTTCGATATCAATAACTGCCTGTACATTTACGCAGAATCATGTCGATTTATCAATGATATTACCAAAGCTGAACATTAGCAATTAACGTCTCAAAGACGCCGAGGGGGCTTTGGATTCACCTACATACACAGTCTATAGAATTAAGTAAGCAGCGTGCAGTCAAAACTTGGGTGTGAAAGGTGTGAATTTTTGACGACGTTGAGATAACCGGAGTCGTCCGTGCGTGACGAGCGACCCTATCTGACAAACAGTTAGGTTCAGTAGAGTAGAAAATTGCCGATGTCGACATATACCAGGTAAATTTTGCTCTTGGGACTGGGAATATACGTCGAGATAACGGGGTTGTCGACATTACCGAGGTCGACATATCAGAGTTTTTGCAAATCATTTATATAGTAACTAGTATTAATTGTAACGGGGACCGTTACAGATGTTCCCCAAACGCTCCCCAACTCCCTTTTGGTGTCTTATTTCCTGTAAGCTTCATTAAATAAGGCAATTAAGTATATTGGTCATTTAACGCATTTCACGCGTGCGCACGTGCATGCATGTGCAGGTTGACAATGTCATTCCGTCTATACTATAAATGCATCTTTATATTCTCAGTATCAAAACATTTCCTCAAAAAATATATATAAAGTTCCGGCTATATCAAGTATATTGGTTATCTTAGCATTGCGCGCACGCGCACCTGTATGCATGTTCATAATGACCATGCCATTTTGTCTACACTTGTAATATGTCTGTTTATTCTTAGTATCAAAGCTTTTCATCAAAAAATATAAAAGTTACGGCCATATTAAGTATATTGGTCATTAAACACATTGCACGCGCGCGCATGTGCATGCATGTGCATGATGGCCACATCATCTTGTCTACACTTTTAATATATCTGTATATTTTTTTATATCAAAGCTTTTCATCAAAAAATATAAAAAGTACGGCTATATTAAGTAAATTGGTCATTTAACACATTGCATGCGCGCGCACGTGCATGCATATGCATGCATGTGCATGACGATCATGTCGTCTTGTCTACACTTTAAATACATATAAATATTTTGAGTATCAAAGCATTTCATCAAAAAGTTTCAAAGTTACAACTATATCAAGTAAATTGGTCATTTTACGCTTTGCGCGTGCGCGCACGTGCATGCATGTGCATGTTGACCATGTCATCTTGTTCATACTTTTAATATATCCTTATATTCTGAGTATCAAAGCATTTTATCAAAAAATATAAAAGTTACAGCTATTTCAAGTATATTGGTCATTTTACGCATTGCACGCGCACGCACGTGCATGCGCGTGCGCGCAAAATGACCTTCGTTCCGCAAATCTACATAACATGCCTAGTAACCCTAAAAAGGTTTCACCTCAATCGGATGTGTTGTTTTGGAGATCACTCACGGACAAAAAAGTACCCAGGAAGAAAAATAATAATAATAATAATAACTAGTATTGATTGTAACGGGGACCGTTACAGATGTTCCCCAAACGCTCCCCAACTTCCTTTTGATGTCTTATTCCCTGTAAGCTTCATTAAATAAGGCAATCAAGTATATTGGGGTTTTTTT